TTCTCAGAAGACTTTCGCTTCCGGAGCTGATCATTTTGATAAAAAAAAATATTCAAAAATTTTGGCTAATCCTGACTGCTACTCAGCGATTATTGACAAACAAGTTCTACAGACGAAAAAAAAATCTTCTGAGAACCTCGTGTTTTGTGCAGCTGACTACCCAAGGGTATATCCATCAAAAATATGATTCGAAAGAATTTTATGGTTCGTCACATGTATTGTCTTCTGTTCCTGTATGTCCTTATTCCTTTAAATTTTATTTATTTGTTGTTTTTCTTTTTAGTCTTATACTTAATTCTGATTCTTATGTTTGTTCTTCGCCTAAACTGATGTTACCAGTCTCTTGGCAATCTGTGTGTCTGTAGGGAGTCGAAATTTCTACTTCTATACTTCAGGATTCCTTTTCACAATAGTGAAAATTAACTATTGATAAATAATTATAATTATTTTTTCCTTATACCTGGTTCTTCAGGATCACGTAAAAATAATTTTGTTTTATAAACATGCCATGAAGCAAATAGATTATCACTTTTTATGCCTAATTTAACTTCAAATTCTCCATCAACAGCTAATGTTACTATTCCATTTTCTATAAAATAAAAAAATAAAAATTATATAAAAGATTCGTTTTTATTTTGAACATACTAATTGTGACATTAGTAAATTGAATAGGTAATTCTGCAATAGCTAATCTTGCTGTAAGAATTTGTTGAAGACGTGGTAAAATTTCTTGTCGTTCAGTTTCACTAGCTAGTATAAACGGAGTTGTTGCTTCCTAAAAACAAAATCATTTTTAATATTCGACTTCAAAAAAAAAAAGATTTTTCTTTTCAACAACAAACCGATAATCGTTCAGGTAAAAAATTTACTGAACCAAGTGTTAATGCATCAACTGCATCTGTTATAGGAAAATTCGGTAATCTAAAAAAAATATATTCAATTTATTTCTAACTTATTTAATTAAATATAAATTTACCTTGCATCAAGAAGTTTTAAACGTGCTAATTGAGCTAAACAATCCGATGTTTCACGTATAAGTCGAGCACGATTTTCCAAAAAATGTTGTATAGTCTTTTATAGAAAATTTCAACAAAAATAAATATATAAATTAGTTTTTTTTTTTTTAAAAAAAACAAAATCTTTACCTCGCATGCATTTACTTTTCCAGCTGTAGTTGCCCATTTAACTACAGCTAAAATTCGTATAAATAATTGACGAGTACGACAAGCAAATTTTACTAATTCTTTTTTTCTAATAATTAAATAAAACAAAAAAAGATTTTTCATTTGAATATGTTTTTGTGTTTTCTATATTTTAGATATTTACCGTTCTATATTAGTTTTGTTGGGTAAACTGAAATGAAAAAAGAAAAGTTCTTGATAAAAAATATGAATTCGATAAAAACTAAATAAATACATACACATCTGCCATTGTATATAGTTCATGATAAGTTTTTTGTACAGCTGCTTCAAGTAAACGAGATAATGGAGTTTTATCATGCATTGGTAATATTGGAGGATTATTACTAGTTGTTGATGGACCAGCAGCCATGCTTATACTGGTTTAAAACAAATTTATCTAAAGATTTTTTATTAGTTGTTTCAAAATTTTGAGTCGAACATTTTATTGAACGAATGAATTAACTTTCTACGAAAAAAAAAGAAAGAGAAAGAAAATGATTTTATTTGTTCTTTATAAAAACCAATAAAAAAATTAAACATAAACTCATTATTGTCTCGACTGTCATTTAGTGACATCTAGTTTTAATTTTGCAAATGATCGGAAAAATTCAAATTATTGATAAATGTATTACCGAGAAGAACATGTTTTTTTGTTTTTTGTTTTATTGACTATTAATTATTTTAATGAGTTGGGAAAATGCCAATAATAGAAATGTAGGATATTTGAAAATTCCCAGTAGTGGCTTTTTTTTCCCATTGAAGTAATGACGAAATCTGTTCTGTTTCAAAGATATAGACGATTGTCTATTACTTGTCATTGTGAAATAACCAATTCTAAAAATAAATATGGTGTGCAATGGAGCAAAAAAACCAGAGAAAGAGAAAAATGGAGTCATATCTATTTACCGACTTGTTGACTTTATTTCTCATTTTCTCTCTCTCTCTCTTTTTTGGTTGTCTACGTATAAAAGATGTGTAATGTAATCATATTGTTGGCATTTTTAACCTAACATAACTTAAATCATCAGTTTTGACTATCGTCGGTTTAAAAGTGGGCTATTTCGCTTGATGATGGCTCGTTCTTATGAAATTATTGTCATGGATACATCATCACTCGACGTTCCCATTAACGATGAAGTTAAAGTTCAACAATTAAATGAATCTACCAATATTATACATAAATGTTCGTTAATGTGTACATAAGCTGATCGTTTATCTGTCTCTATGTGGCTCTGTTGTGATATTGATTCGTATTAAGTATATTATTAGGAAATTTTAAACCGAACAAAAAAATTATCAAATGAAGAAAAATAAGTTTAAAATAAATGCTGTGATAAATTATTTCATTAACGTACAATTATAACTAAAAACAATTTAAAAAAAACAAGTTAATCAAAAAACGATTACAATATGTGGTCGACAAAAAAACTGTAAAATTAAAAAATCTTCAAAAAAATCAATTTAAACCAAAAACATGATTGCGAATCGTGGTCGCAAAAAAATGAAAAAATGGAAAAATCCAAAAAAATCAAGTTAACCAAAAACGATAATGTATCGACAAAAAAATTGGAAAAATAAAAAAAAAACCAAAAAAAAAAAATTGCATCTGCTTCGTTTACATTCCTGTCACCTCTACGTGGTGAAGCAGACTAGTACTTGTTCGTTCTAATTGACGTTCAAGGAAGCTAAGAGCAGGAATATTTGAATATTAAAAAAAAATTTAAAGTTTTTCTTTCTTATAAAAAGTCCATGAGATCATGACGTCATCGCATGTCTCATAGATATGTGAGTATTATTTTTCACAAAACATCTGAATCATATATTATGTGTTCTATTTGTAAAAAAAATGAAGTCAATTTTGTCTGCATAGACAAACTACAAAGCTAAAACTATGACACAGGTAAATCGAATACAAAGTCCAAAAATAAATGCAGATGTCATTAGTTAATGACCTGGACGGTTTTCAAAAGACATGCTTTCAAAAGAAAGAGCTGAATATGAGTATTAAATGTAACATAAGATTTTATAGAACATCTATATTAGGAAAAAAACACCTGATTTTAATATATATGGGAAAATTAGTGCACAAAAAAAAATAAAATTTTCATCTTATGATTTAAAAGAAATGTCACGATAAAAAATATAAAACAATAAGAAAACAACTTTATCTTTACTCACAATGATAAATAATCTAAAAAAGTATTCAAAAAGTCTTTTATTTCATTATTTCAACAAAAACAGCCATATAACACTTTTTTTTAAACATCATTATTGACCAATCAACAAAAACTTTTTTCTTGCAATATCTTACGTCTTCGAATATAGGAGTTTTGATAGAACATTGAGTTCAACATGATTTGATGCTAATATCATTGCTCGAATAATAATTTTAATATTATTATGTCTCATTCTTTCTGCATTTTGTTCTACCAATAAATACAATAAAATTATTTACTCGATCAGAAGGTAATGTTTCTGTAACTTTATCAATAATATTTAAAAATATTAATCTATAATCATAATAAAATTTACTCTTATGAAATCGATATAATTTAGCTTTGAATGAATCTTCATTATTTGTTTGATCAACTTGAATTGTATAAAATATTTCATAAAGATATCATGCTGTATTGATGGATGCATTTTTTAAAATTTAAATCGACTTGATCGATGATTATTCAGATTATAACTAGTTTCTTTACCTAATGTTATGAGAGATTCTAAATAAAATTTAGATTAATTTTGTATTTTTATTGTTTAATTTTTGCTTTTTAAGATATCTGATGCTTTTGCCTAAATGTCAATTATTGATTGTTGTAATAGTAATAAATATTTTGGATGGTTTGCTACTGTAAATACGATTGAAGTCATCAATTGCATTAATTTACGTATATATTTATGTTCAAAACTTGTCATATTGATTCCATTTACTCATAAAATACGATCTCCAGGTCTAAGATCAACTTAACTCGTTTGAGGCTCTGATCGAATATAACTAACAAAAGTTACTTGTGATGTTATATCAACTTGTTAAGTAAATGAATTAAAATCGAGTCCAATCATTTTCGAAACAGTTACATAACGAATTTCACTTTGTCCCAACGATAGTTTGGAATACAGAGGAGAAGAAGACAATTTTTTAACTTAATCAAAATTACAAAATATAAAATTAGCTACAAAATTTTCTAAATATAGCAAACTTATAAATGATATTTGTCATTATCCTTAACATCTGATTATATAGATATTTGATTAAGAATAGTAGAACAAATTATCATTTTAGTGTACAACTTTCATAACAAGAAAATGTACTAAAGAATTTGTAATTATAATATTAGGAACAAAATGACACAGGTAATCAGTTCAATATCTGTAAGAAAAGAGAATTATCTCTATTTTTTTCATATGAGGAAACTTACGTACAAAAGTGAAGTCTATACATTCAGCAATATATGAATAATAAATATATCCAAATATTCGTAGAGGACAAAAAAACAAGTAATTATATACTAAAGATTATTCAAGCTTATAAAGGATAGGAATAAAAAATAAAATTAACGTATATTTAATAGATGAAAATCTTAAATATAATTAATATCTAAGAAAACGTAAAAATATGTTTTGAATAGATAAATGATAATCATATAGTTAATTTTCTTTCTTTCGGATTTCATTTCAATTAATGTTAATCTCATTTACGTTTTATAAGGCGCCAAGTTTATTTGTCAATCAAGATATTTATCGAATATCGATGTTCTATGATCATAGAAATCTCAAATGCATTAGTTATCAAATTTCATGAATATCAATTTTAATCTCATGGAAAATGATTCAGAAACACAAATGGCTTCAAATGACTCAACAAATACTGATCCGGCAAGTCTTTTATTGGGTGATTCAAGTATATTTACAAATTCATTATCATCATCTGATTCCATATCTGAAGAAGTTTATAGAAAACAATTAATAGATCATGTACATGAACTTAAGGCAGAATTACAGACACGTTGTCATTTGGATTGGTTAAACGAATTTGAACCTTCAGAAAATAATCCTAAAATAGAACTTAATCTTTTATTACATGGTGCTATACGAGAACAAACATTAAAACAATTAGCATTTTCTAAAGGTATTGATTTTAATAATAATGAACAAATAATTGCTAAGATTTTTCAAGTAAATTTATATTAAAAAAGAAAATTCTAATATTAAGTATTATTCTATATTAGAATGATCATTGTTTATTACAACGAATATTTCAAGAACTTATAAATGATCAACGACAACAACGTATTATCTATACAGAAATTCTTTTTCGACCTGACATATTCAATTTTGGCAATAAAATTTCTAATATTAAACTCAAAGATGTTATAGTAAATTGTTCTAAAAAAAATTTCAAAAAAAAAACAAACAAATAATCTAATTTTTATTGAAAGATATTTTCAGGAAGTTATCATTGATTGTATTCGTTTTTTTACATCTACTAATCTTGTCAATAATGAAATAGATACTTTAACAGAATCAAATACAATTCTAGATAAAACAACAATGAAATCTTTTTTACCTATTCATATAAAAATTATTCTTAGTAAGAAAATTCTTTTTTTTTCCTTTCTATTTCTTTATAATTAAAATTATTTGTAAAGGTTGTAATTGGAATAATATAAAAAGTTTAAATCAATTCATTTGTTTTGCTCGTAATTATCCTAATGAAATTGTTGGTATTGATTTTTATGGTGAAGAAGATGATTGTCGAAAATATTGGCATAATTTTTATAAATATACAAAAATCTTACGTTATTATCGCATACAATATCAAGCAACCATGAATAATTATAAAGATTTACAATTAATTGATGATGTTATTAAAGGTTTAAATATTGAAAGATTATATGAAGCATATGAAATAATTTTATCATCAAAACATATGGAAAATATTTTAATAAAAAGTGGTATTCATCTTATTTTATGTCCAATATCCAATGTTTACACAATTGCTAATTCTCAAGTTAATAATATTTCGTTAACAAGAACTGAAAGAAAACGAAAATATCAATCAACAAGTTCAATAAATAATTTGAATAACGAAAAAAATTCTAATGAATTAACATCATTTAATTTAGTCAATTATTTACAATCCGAATTGATTGATTATTCAATTACATCATTTTCTCCATTATACTACAAACAGAGTTTATCATCTATTTATAAAAATCTTCTTGAAAAAAATAAAAATTTTTTTACTTGTGAACATGTAAGTTTATTATTGTTTAAATAACGGATCGATCGAAAAGCTTTCAGACAAGATGTTTGTTCACTTTTAACCTGCTGAAAATTTTTTCCGATGAGCCAAAAACTATAGATCGCGACTAGAATTTAAATATGGGCTTAGCAATGTTGTGTCTATTATTGTTTAAGAATAGTGAAGAACTTTTTGAAATGTCTGAAAAAAATATTTTTTAATGGTGAGCCAATGAGTTTTTGTTTACTACATAAGTCAATTTTCAAACATGATAAAAATTGTCAGAGTCAACAGCATTTTTTTCAAACAGCTCTTTTCAACGGAAAACAGTTGTGGATTTTTTTAAAAAAGGAATATTTAGGAAAAACGAAAATTGAGGTGTTTTATCGAAAGACAAGAAAAAATTCAGATAGTGCATCTTTGTAGGATAGCTTCTGATCAACAAGCGGATATATAAATAAAGATCCCAATTTTTAGTTTCGAATCGTGATAGTGAAAATAAGAAGATGTGCTGAAAATATTTTCCATCTAAACTCTATTGGATCAAAAGTGAACAAACATCTTGTCTAAAACTTTCTAATCATTCGTTAATAGGATTTCTATCAATTAATTATTTATAGATGCAATGGTTAAATGAAAATGCCGTTAAATCAAGTTTTGCTTCACAAAAATTAAAAACTGAATTAATTAATTATATACGTGAAAATTATACAAATTGTTATCAACAAACAAATTTTCTTCAACAATTTCAAGAAATAACAAATAAATGGCAACAAGATATGAATAATATTATTGATAAAAATGCTCAAATAGCTTTGGAATTTGCTACGAAAATGCATCAAGAAAAAATAATTAAACGTCAAATTCATCAACAACAAATTCAAACTAAACTATTCGAAGAAGAAGAAGATGATGATAATGATACTAATCAATTAGAATAAAAAAAAATAGCCAATAAAATATTTGTTAACGTAGATGTATAGCTAGATTCAGCAGATGGTTTTTATTATTTATTTCATTCTTTATAAAATATTGCATATACTCAGACGAGCACGTACATGATATGAGAATAAATACCATCTGCATATATAATAATAGATATAAATACTATTGTTTCATGCATATGTTTTAATCAAAATGCCGCTTATCATTTATCTTTTCTTTTTCGTTTTTTTTA